AATCAGAAAATGTAACTTTTATATAATTATAGGATTCAGATTAAATTAGAAAGCTATAATGTCTGTCCCCTCAGTTTAGTTTATTCAAATAATAATTTAATTAAATATTTCATTCCATTTCATTCTCATGGCTACAGGAGAGTTCCATCTATCCCAACCGCAGAGCTGAGATAATTCTGGATTTCAAGCTGCAATAAAGGTATGTACCTCTAGAATTAGCCTATACCCTAAAGGAGAGACGGGGGGTGGGAAAGATATAATTACATAATTAATAACTAGAGTCTCTGAGAAAAAATATGAATTTTATTCCCTGTTTATTCCCTAAACAGATAAGCGCATAAATCCCCCCATACACAAAGCAATCATAAAATCTTACTTGTGTATAATAATATTATAACTGTCAGGTCAGTTTGGTTTATTCAAATAATCCTTCTAATTAAACATTAAATTCTGTTCCATTCTCAGTTCATACCGATATGGCTGGAGGAGATTTTCACCTATCCCAACTGCAGAGCTGAAATAATTCTGGATTTCAAGCTGCAATAAAGGTATGTAGCTCTAGAATTATACTGTACCCTAAAGGAGAGACATGGGCGTGGGTGGGAGAGAGATATAATTTCATAATTAATAACTAGAGTCTCGGACTAGGACATGTTATTCCCTAAACAGATAAGCGCATAAATCCCCCCATACACAAAGCAATCATAAAACCTTATTTGTGTATAATAAAATTATTCAGGTTAAATTAGAAAGCTATAATGTCTGTCCGCTCAGTTTGGTTTATTCAAATAATCTTTCCAATTAAATATCAGATTGTATTCCATTCTCAGTTCCTACCGATATGGCTGCAGGAGAGTTCCATCTATCCCAACTACAGAGCTGAAATAATTCTGGATTTCAAGCTGCAATAAAGGTATGTACCTCTAGAATTATACTATAGCCTAAAGGAGAGACGGGGTGGTGGTGTGGGTAGGGAGAGAGATATTATTTTATAACTGGTAACTAGAGTCTCAGACTTGGACGAGTTATTCCCACAACCGATAAACACATAAATTCCCCCATACACAAAGCAATCAGAAAATGTCACTTGGATATAATAATTCAGGTTGAATTAGAAAGCTATAATGTCTGTCCCCTCAGTTTAGTTTATTCAAATAATCATTTAATTAAATATCCATTACATTTCATTCTCGTGGCTGCAGGAGAGTTCCATCTATCCCATCCGCAGAGCTGAAATAATTATGGATCTCAAGCTGCAATAAAGGTATGTACCTCTAGAATTCGACTATACCCTAAAGGATAGACGGGGCGTGGGTGGGAGAGAGATATAATTTCATAATTAATAACTAGAGTCTCGGACTAGGACACGTTATTCCCTAAACAGATAAGCGCATAAATCCCCCCATACACAAAACAATCATAAAACCTTATTTGTGTATAATAATATTATTTAGGTTAAATAAGAAAGCTATAATGTCTGTCTGCTCAGTTTGGTTTATTCAAATAATCCTTCCAATTAAATATCAGATTGTGTTCCATTCTCAGTTCCTACCGATATGGCTGCAGGAGAGTTCCATCTATCCCAACTACAGAGCTGAAATAATTCTGGATTTCAAGCTGCAATAAAGGTATGTACCTCTAGAATTATACTATAGCCTAAAAGAGAGACGGGGTGGTGGTGTGGGTAGGGAGAGAGATATTATTTAATAACTGGTAACTAGAGTCTCAGACTTGGACGAGTTATTCCCACAACCGATAAGCACATAAATTCCCCCATACACAAAGCAATCAGAAAATGTCACTTGTATATAATAATTCAGGTTAAATTAGAAAGCTATAATGTCTGTCCGCTCAGTTTGGTTTATTCAAATAATCCTTCCAATTAAATATCAGATTGTGTTCCATTCTCAGTTCCTACCGATATGGCTGCAGGAGAGTTCCATCTATCCCAACTACAGAGATGAAATAATTCTGGATTTCAAGCTGCAATAAAGGTATGTACCTCTAGAATTATACTATAGCCTAAAGGAGAGACGGGGTGGTGGTGTGGGTAGGGAGAGAGATATTATTTTATAACTGGTAACTAGAGTCTCAGACTTGGACGAGTTATTCCCACAACCGATAAGCACATAAATTCCCCCATACACAAAGCAATCAGAAAATGTCACTTGTATATAATAATTCAGGTTGAATTAGAAAGCTATAATGTCTGTCCCCTCAGTTTAGTTTATTCAAATAAACATTTAATTAAATATTTCATTCCATTTCATTCTCATGGCTGCAGGAGAGTTCCATCTATCCCAACCTCAGAGCTGAGATAATTATGGATTTCAAGCTGCAATAAAGGTATGTACCTCTAGAATTCAACTATACCCTAAAGGATAGACGGGGGCGTGGGTGGGAGAGAGATATAATTTCATAATTAATAACTAGAGTCTCAGTCTAGGATGCGTTATTCCCACAACCGATAAGCACATAAATTCCCCCATACACAAATCAATCATAAAATTTCAAGTTTAGCCTTTATTTCTTAAACACTGTTTTTTGGTTGCAGTACCCTGTTAACATCTTGTGTATTTTATTCTTATTTCATTTATTGATTTGTTGTTTCTTTTAGAATCTATCTTATGAGCGCAACAACATCACGCGACAAAACAAGATATGTTACAAGAGAAAATAAAAGATTAACGTTACTGATCTATTAATTGTAAAAATGACATGTATTTTATCGAAGTGAGGATTTGTATTAAAATAAAATTAAAAAAACTAACATATAACTGATGTTTTACTATGTGTTATTAGTTAACATTACATTAAAGGCCACTCCATGCTACAATTTATTACAATTTACTGAAGTGTTGATGGTGCACTCTAAGAGCAGTCCCCCTGTTATTTCTCAGGGAATTAGAGTAATTTGACCAAATAAAGAGCACTCACTGTGCTATAAGGCTCAGCGTCTCTGCAGCTCGCAACAGAATGCAGAACTTTCACTTTATCCGTGGAAATCTGTCCTGGTTTAGACAGCAATGACAAGCTGCATGAGCTTTGCGATCGATTTTGTTTGTTACATTTATTGATGTCTTGCATTGGCGTCATTCACTAAAGGAATAGTCTAATCACTCTAATCAAAGCTGAAATTATTTTGTTTGGCTAAGATAGTTTAGTGTTGAGTTTTGGTTTGGCTTTGCGATCGATTTTGTTTCTAACATTCATTAATGTCAATCCATTTTCCAACTTGGAATTTTGACATGTAGTCAACCTGTGCCCATGTCCTATTTGGGACATTTCTGAAGCTGGCAATGTATTTTACCCCCAAACCATATATTTCTGAAAAGTAGACAACACAGGGTATTTCAAATGCTGGTATTTTAACACTTTTCATGCACCGAATTTACCAGCAGCCTTTGTCCAACTTTTGGGTAGTAATTTTTTTGTGTGTGTTTTTCACATACATTGTACTTTAGGCATGAATTAGCAGATCCTGTTATGTGTCACTGCCAAACAACACCCCAATATGTGTTCAGCAACATCTCCTGAGTACAGTGATACCACCAATTCCCATTTTTTGCTCAGTTGTTTAGGGGCTTAAAGGCCACGATAGAGACTTGTGCATGTCAGTTTTTCAACTTGATAAATAGGTACGCTTGGCCTATGTTCATTTTTGCAACCCCCAGTTAATGTTAAAGCAGACGTGCCAGGGTATTGTATATGGGGTGTTTTACCTTCCTTCCCCCAGCCATTGTGCTAAGAAAATTTCAGAGAAAGTGCATGGTGGTAAAATTTGAATTCTGTTTTTTTATTTTAGCCAGCTGGTTATGTTACTGCCAGAAAACATCCCCGTTTTTTTTCTGCAAAGTCCCCAGAGTACACCTATGCCCCCCATTCATTGGTTTGCCATTTTTTTTTTACAGTAACAAATGTTCGACTAACCCATTTTGGCGGAATTTTGTTTGCTTGCTTTGCTAGGCACATGTTGAGTGTGGTGCATTTTTACATCTCCCAAGTTGAATTTATGGTTTGAAAGTATATATTTTTATAGAGTCGACATCCAAGGTTATAGAATATGGGGTGTTTTGACTTCTTTTCCCCAACCATTTTGCCCAACAAATTCAGAGAAAGTGTGTGGTGGTAATTTTTGAGTTCTGTTTTTTATGCAAATATTGCTTTTAGATTTTGGCCAGCCGGATATATGTTACTGCCAGAAAACTTTTTAACTTTTTTACATTTATAAAGAAAAAATGTGCAGGTATCAAATGCACCTTTCACAGCAATCTCTAAACTAACTCCTGCAAAAAGAATCTAACTGGACATTTGGGGGAAGGAAACTGACTAACTAAAATTTGCCGCTTTCAAAAGATACAAAGTAAAAGAATGATGAACAAGTATTATAAAACTGTATATTCTGTATGGTAGAGCTTAAAACAAGTTCCAATACACAGTCCAGATTTTGAAGGGCAATCAGGACAGTAAAAGGGGGTGTCTGTCCTTTTGGAACAGACTCTGTAATTTTTCTGGGTATTGGCTTTTTATTTTTTCAGCTGGTGGTATGTTGAAAATGAAATGTGTAGCCCAACTCTGGACTCCTCTAGCACTGTTGTTGGAACTTGACCATCTTCATAAATTATAGTTGAAATCAGCTTGAGCTGAAATTGGAGAAAGGTGGTTCTTCCTCGATTTTTTTAAAAAAAAGTAAAAATGAATTGTGCGTTGCTACTTGCATAAGATAGATTTGCAAATACCATATATACTCGAGTATAAGTCGACACGAATATAAGCCGAGGCCCCTAATTTTACCACAAAAAAACTGGGAAAACTTATTGACTCACGTATAAGCCTAGGGTGGGAAATGCAGCAGCTACTGGTATATTTCTAAATAAAATTAGATCCCAATAAAATTACATTAATTGAATATTTATTTACAGTGTATGTATATAATGAATGCAGTGTGTGTATATAATAAATGCAGTGTGTTTGTATATAATGGAGTGTGTGTGTGTTTGTATGAGTGTGTGTATATAATGCAGAGTGTGTGCATTATATATACACACACACACTGCATTATATACATACACTCATACAAACACACTCTGCATTATATACACACACATACAAACACACACACTGCGTTATATACAAACACTCATACACACACTCTGCATTATATACACACACACACTGCATTATATACACACTCATACAAACACACACTCTGCATTATATACACACACACTGCATTATATACACACACTCATACCAACACACACTCTGCATTATATATACACAAACACACTGCATTATATATACACACACACACACACACACTGCATTATATACACACACACTCTGTGTGTATATAATGCAGAGAGTGTGTGTGTATATAATGCAGTGTGTTTGTGAATGCAGAATGTGTGTGTTTGTGTGTTTTTTAGTCCCCCCCTTGCTTGTTACCGGTGCAGTGGGGGGGGGGGGAGACCGTCAGGAAACGTTTACTTACCTTTACAGCAGCACCGTGCAGCTCCCCTGTCAGCTCCATTCACCTCCGTTCCCTTCCGCTCACAGTGTAAGTCTCGCGGTCTGCGTGCCGTGCGGAGCGTTGCCACGGGCTCTGACGGCCATGGGTGTCGAGACTTACACTGTGAGCTGAACAGGAGAGGTGAACGGAGCTGAGAGGGGAGCTGCACTGAGCTGCTGTAAAGGTAAGTAAATGCTTCCTGCCGGCCCCCAATAGGACCCCAATACTTGCCCTATTTAAACAGTGATACCCCAGATAGCTATGCCATGGAGCCCATTCGTATAACAATAGATTATGTGAAAGACTTTGGCTCCATGGCAATTGAACTGTATGTATGTGATCTGAGCGCCATTCGGTAATAATGTGCGCTCAGATCTAAGCTATCTGGGGATATGTATGTACCTGTTTTATGCAATAGCTGCACAGTTATATATTTTTATGTATTTTATAGTCTTTTGCTATCATGTGTTCAATGGAGTTTTGCCTCTGTCCTTGGAGATAATTGGATTACTTCCCAATTATCTCCAGCATAGAAGCCTCTGTGGAACTGGTTTTGGGCAGAAAAGCCATGCTTCATTTGGTCACAAAGGACTATGATCTATCTTTTGAACCACTGGACCAATTTGTATGATTTTGACGTATGTTTGTATTTGGAGTATGCTGATTCTGTAAATTTATGTAAATGTGATGCATACTTTTAAAGTTATGAATAATGTGGAAAAAAATGTATTTCTCTGCCTGTGATAATTACATTAACCCATTGTGTAAGGTAATTGTATCACAGGCAGAGGGGAGGATTTTGTGTGGGAGTGTCTGAGTGTATTGTACGTGTTTATTGGTTGTTTTACAAAACCCTGTGGGTGGTACTAATGTGTAATAATGTGTATATAAGAACAATAAACCCACAGCTCTGCCTGTTCCTGCTTGACCCTCAAAACTGAGCCTTGTCTCGTTCTTGGTGGGAATTACTGTATGCTGTTCCAGTTTGACTGCTAGGAGTGTAAACCTATTCGTATGGTTTTTCCTATTCATCTGTTTATGGCATTCATATGGTTTCCTGTTCGGCAGATTGGTGTCTTTGGTAGCTGCCTGTATATCTGGAAGGGGAATATCTACTAAATGGCTTTAACCCCTTTTATGCCTGGGGTGCTGTTACAATACCCATTTTTCTCTTCTTTTTTTTTTATAGTGATCAAAGAGTCCATTTTAATGGGGTTAGAAAGTTTACTGAGATTAAGATGTCTTACATCAGACCATATGATATTAGGAGGAAAGTATGGCAGGCAGTCTAGGCTCTCCATTTCAAACCAGGTCATATCAGAATGGCCTGGGACAGTCCAAGATAATACATGTGTACGCATACATGCTTCGATTAAGGTAGTCAGGTCTTGAAAAGATACCCATCCTTTATTCCTTTGTAATATTAGAATTGTGTTTGATCTTCAAGGTCTCCGCTCCATCCATATAAAATCAGAGAAATGTTTTTGATATTTCTGAAGTATAGTTGAATTAACTCTGAGGGGGATGGAACTTAACAGATAAAGTATTTTTGGTACTATATAGGCTTTTATTAGATATATTCTTCCTAGCATCGATATTTCAAATCATTTCCATTTGATCAACAACTCTTTGATTAATTTCAACTGATCTGTATGATTTTGTTCAAGTAAAGCTTTAAAATCGAAGCTCCCTTTAATGCCCAAATAATCTATAAACTTCATGTTCCAATTAAAATGATGTAGATTTTTTAATCGTCCATCTCTCCCTTGTGTGCCCAAGCTGTGAAGGTCTGTGTTTTATGTAAATTGATTTTATAATTAGAATATATACTATATTGGTCAATGAGTCTTAAAGCAGCGGGAATCGAGACTAGTGGATCCGTGAGGGAGAGGAACACATCATCAGCAAAAAGTGTTATCTTGTGTTCGACGTGGACACCCTGGATTCCCCTGACCTGTATCGATTTCCTCATCATTATATCCAATGGTTCAATTGTTAGTATATACAGCAGAGGTGCCAACGGGCACCTCTGTCTAGTACCATTACAAATGGAAAAGCTGTCTGATACAAAATTAGTGCCAATAAACATTGCAGTGGGATCTGAATATAAATTCTTAATATTACTCTTAAAAGTTCCAATTATGTTGTTTTCTCAAGAACCATATCAAGGAAATCCCAGCTGACCCTGTCAAAAGCCTTCTCGGCATCCAAGGCTAACAATACTGAACTAGTTTGTTGTGGGTTTAGTCTATGTAGAAGATTGAGTATTCTACATATATTGTCGGTTGTGCTTCTTTCCCTCACAAATCCAGATTGATCACTGTGAACCAGGCCAGGCATCATAATGCTTAAACGGTCAACTAAGATTTTGGTATATATTTTTATATCAGTATTTATGAGGGAAATGGGCCTACAATTTGAAGTTATTGAAAGGTGTTTACCTGATTTAAATATAGGTATTATTGAGGCTTGTAACATCTCACGTGGTATTATTCTATTATTAGATATTTCAATAAAAGTTTTTAATAATAGAGAAGCTACTAGAGTATAATTTGTTTTATAAAAGAGGGCTGTAAAGCCGTCTGGGCCAGGTTCCTTACCCAATTCTAATTTTTTGATTGAATCAATAATTTCAGATATTGTAAAGGGCTATTCAATAAATCCAGTCTAGATTGTGTAATTTTTGGGAGATTAAGTCTTTCGAGACTATTTTTTTTGTAAATTATATAAGGATTTATAATATTCTAAAAATGTCTTAGCTATATCCTTGGGGGTATGTGGTACCATCAACTAGGATTTTTTTTATTATCTTACTGTAACGGACCGTTAAGCATAAAAGGGGTTAAAAACCATTTAGGCGATACTCCCCTTCCAGATACACAGGCAGCTACTACAAGCACCAATCTCCCGAACAGGAAACACATGAATTCCCCCATTCCCGAACTGGAACCATACGAATGCTGTAAACAGCCGAACAGGAAAAACCATACGAACAGTTTACACTCCTGGCAGTCGCACTGTAACAGGATACAGTGCAATTCCCCCCTCCCCCCAAGAACGAGACGATACTTTCGTTTGAGGGTCAAGCAGAACTGATTTACTGGGGCTACCTGCCCGTCTTTTATGCAGGTCTTCCACCTGGTGGACACTCCCCTAGGGGGAGCTTACAAAATTAAATACTTCTACAATGCATTATAATCCCTCCTCTCTGTCCTGGAGATAATTGGGAAGCATTCCAATTATATCCAAGGACAGAGGCAAACTCCATTAGCCATATGTTAGTAAAAAGACATAAAATTACACAGTGTTACAATTCCTACATAAAACATATACATTCAACATATCCCCAGATAGCTTAGATCTGAGCACACATTATTACCAAATGGCACTCAGATCACATACATACAGTTCAATTGCCATGGAGCCAAAGTCTTTCACATAGTCTTTCGTTACATGAATGGGCTCCATGGCATAGCTATCTGGGGTAACACTGCTCACATAGGGAAAGTATCGAACGGACGGCGTTCGTATGAATTGCAGGAGAAGGGAGGTCGGCGGCTCAGCGGTGTTCGTGCAAATAAGTGTCCGTTTTGAGTTCCATAGATTTGGAGCTGAACACCGCTGGCCATTCGGGAGTTTAAGAAGGCCGCTGCCACGTGTTCGGTTATACGAACAGCGGCCACCCAGCGTTCACCAATTAAGCTGCGGTTAACCGCAGCTTCTGGGAGGTAAATCACTGGCACACTCCTTGCCCAGGTGGTCTCCCCATTAGTGCGTTAGTTCGGTAGATTCAATCTACCGAACGCCCATGCAGAAAAGCACAAACAAGCCTTTCTAAAGGGGAAAAGAACAGCGTTTAACATGGGGCCCTAGTCCGGAGGGAGCAGGCAAATAACCAGACTTCTCCAGTGCCCAGTGGCGAGGTTGGTTCCGCCACACTTACCTTTTGAGTTAAATTGTAATCTTTTAGTTAATAGTTTACCTGTTCTGTTATTACCATGGTACCATTTTTGTTTTAATAAAGTTATAGCTCTATTAATTTGTTCCTTTGTTTTCTCGATTATTATATTTCTAATCTGTGTAATCTTAATAATTTGATTAGGGTTTATCTGTATTTTATTTAGCCTTTCCAGTTTTGCAAGTTCAATCTGGTATTCCGAAAGGCTTCTCTCTGTTATTTTTTAATCTTAATTCCAATTTTATAAATATTCCTCACGCAAAACACTTAAATGTGCACCACAATGTAGAAAACAAACATACCCCATCGTTATTAAATTATAGAAATTCTTCCATCTCAAGAGATATTTTATTTGAATTTAAAGTAGAATTTAATAAACTCTCATTAAATCTCCAGTTAGTCCTAGTCTTAAATTCCTGACTGTTATTGAATTCTAAAAATACCAGAGCATGGTCCCACCAAACGATTGAACCTTTAGTAGTTTTTACTACTTGATTCAAAAATTTAGATTTAACAAAAAACATATCCAAACGAGAATAAGATAGGTGGACATGGGAAAAGAATGTGTACTCTCTTTTATTGGGTGAAAGGTCCCCCAACAATCATT